AGTACCCGGATGGTCTTGAGCATCGGTCAGACGACATCAGCAGCAATATTTCCACATCCATATTGAAGCAGAGATGGAACGAATCGAGCTCCACAGATATTCTCCGATTAGACACGAATACGTGTCTATGACTTCGAGGAGAGGGGGTGACCAATGACCCATGGGTTCGCCCACCATGACCGGAGGCTGATCTTTAGTCCATAGGTGTTTTCGACTGCAAGCCGAGGTTGACGGAGCAAGCAGTAGATGTCCGACAGGTGTTGAGCTCGACCAATGGAGACGTACCCAAGATCAGAATAAGGTAGGCATCTGTTTCAAGATTGCATGATCCAAAAACCTTCGAGTTTTTTAACCTCGAAGTATTAGCTCCCCTTCGTTCCGCAAATACCATTTCCCCACTGCGCATTACGGAGGACCTGATTAAAGAGATCCTGATGGGGTTTCATGTTGATTCAGCATTCCAACCAGTTCTATTCTCCTTTGGAGATGAGCCTCATCTTGCCGAGAGCGGTGCAATTAACGTCGCTACAAAAAGTTTGGGAGCATACCAATATACGGTCACGGAAATAAACAAAAGAATGGAGATTCTCACGAGAAAGGCCAACCTTCTCACAGAAAAAACAGCAGATTTCACCGAGAAATCGACAATGGACAACACGGTGTAAATGGATCACTATCGTATCCCTCTTCTACCTTCCGGGTAGCTTTGAGACTGTAAGGTCTGGGTTTGGCACGTTGATTGGATAACGACTGACTGCTGCAGAGCTTATTTGGAATGAACTTCTATACATTCAATCAACAAACCATGAGAATAGTGGTTGCAGAAGACCTTTGGGTTTACGTGGCGACTTGGCTTCCACTGACGCTCCTGACGCTACTAGGTTATGGAGTGGTCGTTCTTCTGGTCCAGCCGCCTGAACGAAGATGGCATCGATTAAGCCAGAGACGCCTTGGGAGGAACGATCAGATGTCCATGGCTGAGATGATAAAGCGTTATCCTATTTTCATTGTTATCGGCAGGACTTATATTGCTGGGAATTGATCCTAGGTCGGGCAACTCACGCGATTTTGGAAGACTGGGCCTCGTTCCGTTCCATAAATTACAAGGTATTGTAAGCCGATACACAGGCTGGTCCATTGAACCTTGCGCTCTAATTGTATAGAGATCTTTGGCGTCTCTATGTCACCGCTGGTGGCAAAAGCGACATACATGCATAAAGAGAAGAGCAGCCTGGTCCCTCGAAGAGGAAAGGGCTAACGCTATGATTTTCTCCGTATCCTTGACGGGAAGACTAATTCTTGATATTGCCTCTGGAGAACATTTGACGCTGAAGGGTCGACCTTGCAAGATTTGCGTCCCCAATCTGTGAGAGAGATGAGTAGGGGAGGAAAAAAGCAGTTCTGGACACAGTGTAATTATAATCGAGCGAAAACCATTCGTCAACACAGAATCGCGATCTTGTCGGCCGAAGCTGTCACGAGAGTCAAATTGCGATCCTGCATGTTCTGACTGCGGCGACTAGGATATGATCGCTTCCGAAGTCGGTAGCGAAGCGGTGTCTGTATCACATGAAGTTTCGCTGTCCACGGAGACCTCTCCCACATCTTTGCTCTCCACTTCGTGCACCTGGCCGAACCCAGCCGTGTTATTGTCAAGCCGCCCTGACGCTGACTCGGAAACAAAGGCGGTGATATCGGCTTCCGTCAGCATAGTGCTTGGCCTCGTCACTAAGGATAACGCTCTCCAACGATCGATCAGCGACGGTGGGAAGTGGTGGATAGCGGCTTCCTTACCTTGCAGAAGATTCGATAGAGCACACACAACGGATCCGATTTTTGGGCGATCTTGTGGATCACATTTCAAGATCGACTCATGATGTCGATATATTATTGAACCCAACGCGGATTCTTTGCACTCCGCTTCTGGTCCTTGAGCCATTGTCTCATTTGCGTTTTCAATTTCGTATTGGTACTACTGATAGCCGTCTGGGTGGCCCCACTGCTGAGGTTTGTTTCATAGAAGTAGTCATCTCCTCCACAGTTTCTCAATGTTCGGACTTCTTTCCAGAGTTCCGTTCGTCCTAGCGCAAACGACAGAAATCTAATAGTATGCAGCCAAAGGACCATATGTCGCACTTGTGTCCGTCGATTCCAAGGTGCTTAGTTTCGGGTGGTTGGTAGGTCCCGCAGCCTCGTCGCGGCTCGTCGAGATAGCTGCTGGCTGTTGTACGCGCAGATTGACCCTGTGATACTTCCTTGCTGAGAGCGAATAGGGACACCCCAAATTCGGACAGCATCCATATACCAGTTAGTGAACTTTGATCTTGAGCAACGAGAATATTTTCTGGTTTGAGATCTATGTGCGCCAGAGAACGATAGAGACTTTGGGAGGCCTCGTTCCCTTCATGGAGCCACTGTACCGCAGAAGCAAGTTCGCATAGCTCTTTGATCAGCGCCGCACCCACCCGTCATCTCTCAAATCTGGGAACCTGATGTCTAAGTCTTATAGCTTTTCGGCTTCCAATGTGTCGCGTTTGGGCTTGAAACCGTGGCGGAGGAACACATCAAGATCAAAATGCTCGGCCATGGGAAGCAGTATCATGACATTGCGTCCGTGTGCTAGGGCAGCAATATGTTTCATGATCCGCGTATCCTCTTTGGGCTCTTTGACCCATCCGAGTCTTCGAAATGCTCTTCGAAAATTCCCTGCCACATGGAATGTCTTGCATGCCACGTGCATCTCCTGTAATCATCCAACGGTCACAATAAACTTTGGCCTTCACAGCCTGATGTCACTATATACCTTCACGTGAGAGTTTTCCCTGTGTCACGAAAACCGTGGCGGGCAATGACAACCTTCTTACCTTCCCAGACGCCCCTTCTCTCAATGGCAACTCTTCCTCCGTGAACGGAAGTGGTCGATCTGCCGCAACCTCTTGAATAGAAGAGACTTCACGCTCTTCGATTATGACAGGGCAGAAGGCGTATGTATTTTCGCGGAAGCTGATAGCATATTCCTTCAGCAAAGCCAACCGTTCGTTGGCCAATGGCAGGTTTGGATCATCAAGGTCATGATACGGGCGCTGTAAGAAGTGTTTGCGAAACCCGGACTTGTCATGACTGCAGACACCGGGCCAAGCGATCAGGACCAAAATAGATAAAACCTTCAGGTAGCAATCGCGAATGGTTTGGCTGTGACACACTCCATCTAGCATACGAATCTGCATAGCCTCAATACTGGGCGCATCATGCTGTTGAGGCAACATCAAGTCGGAGCCTCGGGACATTTTGGTGACAGTACTGCCGGCATTTGTAGCAGAATGGAAACAACGTAGGTTCCTGACTGCATAGAGTTGCGGCTTGCGTAGGGCGCAATACGGGATGCCCATATCAGGCTCAGCTAGTCTCGATAAAAGGCATCGTACGCAAGCATGCTGCAGGATCAAGATTAGGATGCATATGCAAGCGAGTATTATCACTGCAGAGCCCTGTTTGGTGTGAACAGACGTAATTCTGCATTGACTGATTGGTTAGTTGATTGCCCGTTTCATTATTGCTCCTGAGTCGTAGGGTTAGGATCGCCACTTCCTCACTATTTGTTGGGTAATGTATGATTTAGAAGGACGATAATTGAGAAACAGTGAGAGACGTCGAGATTCTCTTAATTTTCGAGATGGATAAACTGTCAAATAACGCTTTACCACTTTGAGAACTAGCGGGCTATATCAGCACCGAAGTTTATCCTTCAAATGTTCGCGTCAGTGATCGCGTTTCGATTCTTCCTCACGATACCCTCTAATAATAAGTACATTGCGAATACTACATAAACCAAAGCGGATCATGGCCTCCTCAGCTAGATCTCGACCTTCAGCAACTTCCAATCGACAAAGGTCAGGACCTACCCCCCTTCCCACATACCAGCCTCCCCAATATCCTCTGAACGAGAATGCCATACGCGCCGTCCAGGACCTCCCTCGCAATCACAAACTCGACTCTCTCAAAGCTCGGCTGAATGCCGCAAACAATCACCTAGCAGGGGCAGCGGTTGATATCAACGATCGCTTGGTAGCCCAGATTGCCCTACACGAGAAGTCTCGGGCCAGACGAGAGAAGCAGGGATCCCAGGAAGACAATGAAGAGGAAGAGATGGCCATGGATGAGAAGCGGCAGCAGACAATTGAATTGACCGGTAGATTGGAGTCGGGTGTCCGCAAGATAATCGATGCAAAGTTCGAAGTAGAGGGCGTTGAGAAGGCCCTCAGAGAACTCGAGACAAATGTCGCGAACAATCGAGGTGCTATCGCGCCTACCCAGAGCACGCTTGGGGCGAGTCAGTTCAGACCAAACCGACGAAGACGAGGTGGGGACGCGGACGCTGAAGACAGCGAAGATGATACCGAGTCCGCTGGAGAGAACGGAGGCGCTTTGGATTTCATCAAGCGGAAGGTAGCAGAACAAAATTCGACATATCAGAACGAGACCATGTCCTTTCGGTGAGTGAATTGTGGTAACTAACAGTCTATTCTCTTGCTTACATCTCACTAGCTACGCGCAGAACAACGACTACGTTGGCTTTAAGAAGCTCGTCTACGACGCTCAATTCCCGGGCGACGACGCACCACCAATGCCACACTCATCCACATGGTTTTCTGATCAGTCTGCGAATATGTCTGACCGTAATACGCGCGGAGCGGCGGCAGCACCAGGCAGCCAAACAGCTGGCAATGACGATGATCTGACTGTAGCTTCTGAGCGAATTAGCACCAAGTGTCCGATCACATTGCTACCTATGAAAGATCCTGTTACGAGCACCAAGTGCCCCCATAGTTTCGAAAGAGAAGCCATATTGAGCATGATCGATGCCAGCGACGTAAGAGTTGATGGAAGTGGTAGACGAGGAGCAGGTGGCAAGAAGGCCATGCAATGTCCCGTGTGCACAGTCGTAAGTCGCCCTTTACATTGCTGCTATTCACCCGTTCTCCAGGCTCAGCGCTAATCAGTTATGCCACAGATGCTCACAGCCGACGACGTCGCGGCCAACCCCGTCCTTGTCCGCAAAATTCAACGTATACAAGCTGCCGAAAATGCTCAAATCCAGGACGACTCCGATGACGATGACGTGAGAGCACCGACAAGTGGTCGGCTCCGACCTGAAGAGATCGGTAGCTCGCCAGCAAGAACCCGCACAACTCAAGTCAAAAACGAACGACGAAGCCAAGCGCTGAGAAACAAGAGCAGAGAGGTATCGATGGTGCCAAATTCACAAGTACAGGGGCTCGTAAGTGAGGGGCAGGGAAGACCAAGCAGCTCCGCGGCAACGCAAGTTGTTGATCTCGAAGAAGACGATGAGGATGAGGATGCGGAGGAATAGAATGTGAGATTCTAATACAAACGACTGCTCTTGCGGAGACGAGCTCGAGGAGCATTCGGCAAAAGCATCAGCTCTTCATATCTCAGAAAGACATTTGGATGTAGATGCCTATGTGCATTTGAGCTGCTAAAAATTGATACCCACAAAGATCCGCATATGGTCAAATGCTCCAACGCTGAGTCATTTGCCGCTTACAGTTCTTCTCGAAGCTGTCATAACAAAACGCCGACCAGACCTAACGACGCTAATCCCAATCGACGCATATATCCATCCCATCATTTGGTGATAACGCCAAGCCAATCAGCAACAATCAGCGTTATCATACTATATGGGGCTAAGGTCAATTTGTGGCTTCAAATGTGCATAAAGATATCCATGGCAGGGAAAAGGTAGGGCAGGGTAACTCACGCATGCGGCGCAATCCTAACATAATACGTCCCAAACCCCCTATAAAACCTCAACAGTCCTTCCTCCTTCGCCACCTTCCGGAAACAATCCGCCATCCCACTATACGGTACCTTCCCGTCCTTCCCTTTTTGCTGCTTCTGCAACCTCGTCTTCACAAAATCAAACGGCAGTGAGAAAAAGCTAGCAAAGAATCCCGCAATCGCACTCGCCGTCAGTGTCTGCGTCTGCATCGACAATTGCGTCTTTGCCTTCAACTGCGTCTTTGCCTCGGAGAAGAACGCCAATTGCCCAAAATTCAACGCCATAGCCCTCACTACCGTCGGGCTCGCACCTGCCCAGAGTGCATATACGCCCTCGGTCTTTGTTATCCGCGTCAGGGCGTCTAAGACGCCTTTGTAATTCGCCCGCATCTCCTTCGGTTTGAGCCCGTCACTCTGCATCCGTATGAGAGCCAGGTCCGCCGGATTCCCCGCCATGGCCGCCAACCCGCCCGCCGTCAGCCCCGCGCCCGCTCTCTCCTTGAAGCCGATGCCCTGCCCCTTGGTCTCCGCCCTGGCCTTCAGCGCCGTCATGAACGTGTCGAAGAACCCGAGCCTCGCGGTCGTGTACACCGCTTGCCGCAACAGTCCGGCGCTCAGGCCCGTGTATAGATCCATCGCCTTGCCTTGGGCTATGATGTCCTTCGTCACGGACAGCGGTGTCGCACGAGGACCCGTTTTTATCCCTTCGCCGGCTAATTGCAGCCGTACTTTGATCATGTCGATGGGTTGGATGCAGGTGGTGGCCGTCATGCCGGCTAGGCCGCCGTTTGCGAAGGGGAGGGCGGCGCGGGTGTAGGGTTGGTGGAGGATGGACGCGGCGACGGGGGAGGTTTCGGAGGCCGGTTTGGAGAGGGCGGAGGTGGTTTTGTTGGAGGCGGATTTGGCGGCATCTACGGCTTTGGACATTGTGATGGCTATGGAGTGGAGATGGGGGGGTGGATGTGTGATTTGTAGGGAGGTGGAGGAGAGGGGGAGGGCTTGTTCGAGGGCTTGTTGGGGAGTGTGGGGGGGTCAATCGGGAGACTCTCAATGGATTCGGTGTTGGTGTTTGCTGATATTCGCTGTCAGCATTCCCTCATGATTACTCCGGTCCATGGCCCATGCCCGCAGCTGTGAAACGAGATGAGACCCTGCTGGTATCCGAAAGTCCCGGACCAGAGGAAAAGGAAAACGGTGGAGGCGTGCTGCAACGTACTTGGGAAGGCCCTGCCCCGCAGAGCCCACCTGGCCAATAACGAAAATAATCGATGCCGCCTCGGGAATTACCTGATGCTGTTCACAGGCCGTGTCCTCGGTGAGCGAAACGAACGCATGGGACGGACATGGGTAATTCTATGTTGATAGAGATATTGTTATCGAGGTAGATGGATCTATATACAATCGACTGCTGCTATCCCATAAGCCCCTCCCTTCGCGTTGACAAGTGCGCCCAATAATGATGGGTGGTCTCGTGCGGGGAAAATGGGCAGCCGTTGGAATATTGTGGCGGACAAATCTCGGGTAAATATTCATGCACAAGGATAAGGGTGCATAAAAGCATAAAGATATTTCCGATTATCTCTTCACATCGTCGACTTCTTCATTACTCTGCAGAGTAGTCGGTGAGCTTGGATGGTAGGCGCGAAAGTTCTGTGTCTAATCATGGAACTGCTCCATGGAAAAGACTCTACGACGAATATGTGTGACCGGTCTGTGAAAAGTGAGGGGGATATCTTCTACTGTCCCCAAAATCCCACATTCGACGTTCCTTCCCAGTTCTTCATCCTTTGCTCAACAGTTCTTCAAATGTGTTGTTAGTTTCCTCGATCATTTAACTGTTTGAAGGTAGAATGGCATGTTTATCCTTTCGCCCTGCGATCATTTGCTTTTCGTGACTCGAAGTACGATTAAATAAATAAAGATTCGGAAATTTCAGACAATGTTGTCCAGGCTTCATCACAGTACATGCAAGGGATAAAGATTCGGTAAGAATCATATCGTCTTCTCTGCAAAATCTACTTGCTCAAACTTCTTGGCTGCTAAGCCCGTGTTAGAAATATTCTCATTATATTCCATTTTAATATATTCCAATATCCATACCTACAAAGATGACTCTTGCTTTTGCCCCCATCATGTCCATTCCATCTATCTATCCAACATCTCCCCCTAAACTCCCCATCACCTTTGATTCCCAAGCAATGGAGTCTCCACACCCTTACTGGGCAGACCACGACCACTCCGACGAGCATCTGAACCTGATGTTCACAACTTTTCCCCTTACACTGGAACCACCTCACCCTTACCGGGCAGACCATGACCACTCCGACGAGCATCTGGACCTGATGTGCACCACAGTCCGACAACAGAGCTCGCTCTCCCCTCCCCGCTCCGTCACGCGCGATTCCGGCTATTTCAGCCCATCAGAATCGCGCTCCCACGCTCGAGGAAAGCTCCGCACCATCACTCTGACACCGACGCATCCAGTGACATTTCCACTGTTTGCAGAAGAGGAGGATCAGACGTTGCTAGCATGTCGAGCTGAGGAACGGCTATGGAGCTCAGCATGGTCAGCTTCTTCGGAGAATTTGGTGTCCATCAGCGACCTTGAAAGCGAAGAGAAGTGCTTGATAGGAAAGTCAAGGCCCAGCGGGGGCAACATGTTTACCCGCGGCCTGCGAAGAGCTTGCGAATGCATCGGCGCGGCGGTGGTGGCTACTGGAAAGAAGGTCAGGTCGACCGGTTCGGGAGATGAGAAAGAGTTGTGGAGTTGGGGTTTGGGATGGCGCGGTGGAAGATTCGAACGTGACGAGTGGAAGTGCGGGTCTCGAAAAGTCGAGCGCGCGTGTGAAGGTAATGAAGAAGATCAAGCAGACGCTGTGGTGTAAGAAAGGGCCAGTAGAGTTGAAGCATGCTAATGTACGGTCTCCGTTGGATGAGTGAGTGAGTAAGTGAGTGAGTGAGTGAGTGCAAAGTGCTGGAAACCAAGTCTCAATAAAGTCAACATGCTGTTAAAAATGGTGTTACCTTTTTTTTCCCCGCACCTCCCTCACACGACCTACCCCAATTCCCCGACTGATGGTTACTACATTGATATGGTAGGACATCAGAACATCAAACAACGAACTCATCACAATGAATCATCTACCCCAATACCGTCCCTCATGCATGCACAACCCCTCGTATCACCCATCAGCCGCAGCTCACCCATACACACACACAAACACAAACACACTAATGCAGCTAGCACCACGCAGCGCGTCCTGCAAAACCCACGACGCCCTATCGTTTCGCTAGACTTGCCAAACCTGCAGCCCGCATCCCTCAGCCTCACAGGATCCTGCCTCTGCGCTCCCCTGAGCTCTTGCCTTCTTCAGCCTGGTCGTTGGTAAACTTCCTCCATTCTGCATCCCCCGCCGCGACCGCCCACCATCTCTCGTACGCCGCGGACTGTGGAGCGAAACCCGAACGGCGAGTTCGTGCACAGCACGCCGTTGTTATACTGCATACATACATATATCGAAGCCTAAAATCTTGCCTTGCCAGTCACTGCAGCCGCTCCACCGCGCAACAATAATCCGGCCCGGCCAAATGTTCAGCAGGAGCAGAAGCCTTCACAACGGCTCACCCGACGGCCTCGGCCTCGACGTCCTCTTCCCCCGCACCGGCACGAGCGACGAAGACGCGATGGTGGACATCGTCTTCGTGCACGGACTGGGTGGGTCGAGGTACGGCACGTGGACGAAAGACGGCGTCCTGTGGGGGCGGACGGTACTCGCGCTGGACTTTCCGACGGCGAGGATCTTGGGCGGGAGTTGGGCCGTGGACTGTGCGGGCGTTCGCCGATGCTGACGTTACGGGTGCAGTGGGGCTACGATACAGATGTCGTTCGGTTCTTCGGGCCGGTGGGACGGTCTAACGTGCAGGATCTTGCGAAAGATCTGAATCGGGATCTTGTGCAGGAGCGGTTTGAGGAGTATCAGGTATGTGGTCAAAGTCTTCTTCTACGTCCTACGGCTTCGCACACGCTATTAAACGCGAGCTGATAAACGCAGATTTCTAGGCCGATAATCTTTGTTTCTCACAGCTTGGGAGGCTTGGTTGTTAAAGATGTGGATCTCAATGGTCAAGTTGGTGCAGGGACAAGGTTGCTGATCGATGTGGAAAACTCCTAGGCCCTGTTTATGTCATACCGCGAAGGAGTCAAGGAAGCTCGTGAAAGCGTCGATAAGCGCCTTGCTGCAATAAAATCTTCCACAAAGGGTGTGCTATTCGCAGGAACACCTCATCGGGGTGCGGACAAGGCAAAATGGGCAGCCACTGCTACCACCCTGGCGTGGTATCTACAAAAGGATCATTCTAAAGAGGTCCTTAACACTCTGAAGCGAGGATCCGAGGTTCTCGAAAGACTGCAAGACAGTTTCAGGGATATCCTGGAGCACTTCGGCGTATACACATTCGTCGAAGACGTCGGATATCCGAAAGTTGGCAGGATCGTGGAAAAAGACTCTGCGATCATCGGCTGGCATGAAAAGGAGTACCACATGCATGCAAACCATTGCGATATGGTCAAGTTTGCCAGCGATAAGGAAAACGACTACAAGAAGGTCAAATTTACTATTCGAGAGATCATAAAGGACCGCATCGAGGGAGGGCGTACAGAAGCAAACGGTATACTCACCGTTGCCGCCCCTGGAGGCGATGCAGTTACTCCGGATTAACTGGTTTGGAAGCCTGGCCGTGATCAGCTGTACCTAACATTCTTCTGACTTTGTAGTATAATCTAATCCTTCAAGTTACAGCAACAGCCGCCAGTGGCTGAGTGACGTGCCGCGCTCGAATTCTCAGCATATCAGCCGTAATCAACGATAGGGTCTTCTAGCTACCGTTAAGGAGAGTACTCTCGATGATGTCTTATCTCGACATGGCAAGCCATCTGGGTGGTCTGCGAACAGCGGAGAGTCTATGAACAACCATCTGGCAGAGTTGAATGAGGGCCAGAATTTCTGCAGAGGAGATTTTAGTGCGTCGTCCTTATCCTTCAACAACAACATGTGTATCTGCAGATCACACTGTCATATCACACTGACCCATGGTTCTCACAAGTAGCCAAGAGCATGGAGCAGGGCACACGCTTTCTAAAGCAAAGAGATAGAAACTTTGAGCAAAACCTCGTCACCGCTCGGACACACTTTGCATTTGCAAGAGGCGTTTTAGGAAGGTCACCAAATCCAGATCCGGCAGGCTTCACACAAGTTTACTATCAACTCATGAACGTCGAAATGGAAATGAGCTATCATCGGGCCATGAGTGCAGAAGATAAGATGTCGCACCTGAAGGCTGCTGAATGCTATGGGGTCGAGGCTTCTTCTTGGGCCCGTAATGGAGGTACTGCGGGATGTGTGACGCAAGTGATGCTCCAACAAGCTGTGTTAAAAGGCAGAAGAGCAGAGGTTGATGTTAGGCTGGGTTTGAGTCCTCAGGAGGCCCGCCGGCAGAAGGATGAAGCCATTGCAGCGATCACAGGGGCGCTGCAAGCGCTGCAGTTTTTTAAAAGACCGAACCTCGCAGAGACTACCGTCTGGGCTATGAATTGGCGAAATCGTTTTGAGCTTTCCAATCAGCGAGTGTAAGCCCAAGGTAGTCTCAAATCGGAGATAATAAAACAGGCGTCAAAAGACTACCATTGTGATCCTTTCTTCTCGCCGCTCTTGCCTCATGTCCAAATTTGCTCTTGCCTTGGGCTCAAACCTGAAGCCGCCATTGCGTTTGATCTGTCAGACGTTCGTGGTGGGAACGACGGCGGCATGGACGCAAACTGATTCGATAAACTCTGTGGCGACACATTGGAAGGGTGACCACAAGGCGCACTTGACGTTTGATCGAATCCACCACTGTTCACCGACCATGGTGGTCTTGACTCTACTTGAGATGTAGCTTCTGGGGCTGGAGCAGTCGAGACCCATGCGCTACCAACACGATGTGACGCGGAGTCGCTCGGATTCAACTCTAGAAGCTGATTCAATGGCGGCGCATAGCCGGTGTTGGAGGGTAGGCCCATGTGCGATGGAACACCGTTGAGGTAATTGAGGCGATCTTGCCGAAAACGGTCTCTTTCCTGCCTAAGTCGCTCCCTCGATTCTCTTATAAGCCAGAGGTATAGGAGCCAGGACAAAAATCTAATGAGTAGTCCACCGACAAAAATCGCAGCTATCACCGCCACTAGGGCTAATCTGCTAAACATTAGACGAACTGCTTGACGATACCATAGACGTGGTCGAACTGCTTAAAAGGCGGTTAAATATAGAGTCCGTAGAACCGGTAGAAATACCAGAAGCTGTGCCAGGCGAATTGCTGAAAGCGGAGTCGGAAGATCTAAGAAGAGATCCACATTCGCGCCGCCTGTATTGCGTGATCCTATGTGGGAAGAACCCAGAAAGTATTCGAGGTTTGTGGTGAACGTGGTACTTGAACCGGCCGCAGTAGATGTAGAGCTTATTTCTATGGCCTCCTCTTCGTCGTGGGTTGTCTCGACGGTCTAAGCTAACTGCGATGAAGCCCAGCCAAAGCCGGATAAGGGCACGGTTTCATTCCAATACCGTGTATGGCAGTAATCAAAACCCACTTGAGAGCTAAGAACTTTGTTAGTCAAACGTCTCATAACTAAGCGATGTGGTAGTTACGATTTCAGACGCGTTGTATTTGTGGAACAGTTATTGTCAAACGCAGCGAGAGCAGTCTAGTCTGTCAATGCGGAAAGATACAGTTGATGACATCTGCGCAGCAACAGTGAGCCCTTTCAGTCGTATTAAAAGCACACGTATCGCCAGCAATGTGAATTTCTGGAGACACTGTGCGAGCAAAAGTGGTAGTAGATGACATAGAGACTCGTTGACGGAACGGAATGGCAACAGGACATACGTTTCCATTGGCCCAGCCACATGTTTTGTGTGCACACCAAGTCCTGGCTAGCGCTTAACAGCCCTAACCCTACTTTCGGAAGGCGACCTTGTGGTGGAGAATCCGGTATATATTTCCCGGCAGCCGATAAATTGATCTCTAGAGACTTCTGTTGGACCTGAGAGCCTATCATGTGACTGGGCCCTAGACCGAGCTTAGACCATGGCGCACTGTCCAGCCAATCCTTCAGGCAGGTTGGGCACGGTTCGAGATCTTGGCGCACCAGAATCCGGCGAAAGAAAACAGAGAACGGGTCGATGCGACATCGTGGACGAAACAGATTAATCGAAAGGCTTTGGAGCCCCCCGAATCACATTCAAAATGCGCCCCTGCACTACCCTTGCGGGCTGCGGGAGGCTTACGGGACTGTGTTGCCGGTTGGGGTAAAGTTGGATTCATGGGGCTTGGTTGTTGCCTCTGATTCGATGTGCACGCCATCATAGGTGTCGTATCTTGCCCGGCGTGCATTGGGGCTATCATCAGGAGCTTTGCCGCATTGTTTCAGATGGCGCTCACCATAAGGGTTCTTCTGGTATCCGAATGTGCTGCTCTGGCCTCGCACCCGCAGCGCGAATCTGCAGCCTTGCCTCCTGCTACGCTGAGTAAGGACTTTGTTATCTTCCGAGGTAACTATTTGGCCCGCTGGACAGATGCTTGATACAGTTGTGCAATGCGAGACGTGTACATGGCTAGAGGCGCGCGGGTTTCGACTCCCACTAACTTGAGATTCGGCATGACATGCTAGGTTCAGGTCCGTGGATGAGGCTGTGTGTTTATTTTTTCACCACAACTATCGTATGAAGCTAGAGCAGTTACTCGGTCAATTAGCTTATTCCAACTTCTTGATCTTCTATTTTCATACTTCTTCAAAACAACCATGATATTCCCGCGACCCCAGCAAACATCCCAACGAGATATCTCGACCCCCAGCACCTGACTTTGGCCCCCGCGACACCCAAGAACTGTACCGCCCCCGTACCGTTTGGTCCCGTACCCAGCCCGCCCACTATATAAGGCGCCAATCCCTCCGTACTCGTCCCAACCACAGCTTGCGTCGCGCTCGGCGCTAACGAAACCGTAGTCCCACCTACCGCAACCGTCCCTCCTGGCGCCGTTGTACCACCCACGACGTTCTCGCCACCAGGCGTTAGCGTTTGACTGCCTATGAGATACTGGCCCTGCGCATTGGCTGTTATTGTTTGCGTGCCGATCGTAATCGCTGGCGGTATGGTTGTGGTAGGAGTCGAAGTCGGCAGATTCAGTGTTGTGGTGCTCGAGCCTATAACGAGCACGGGGTGGATCCCTGATGTTTGCAGTATGACGGGCGTAGTGGAGGCGCCAGAGCCGAGGACGAGAGGTGTGTTAGCTGAGAGGATCTGGCCAGCGATTACGTAGTGTGACTGTGAGTCTGTGGTGAGGGTATGCCCATTCACAACAACCGGAGCGGGCTCCGGCGTATTATCAATGGCTTGCGGTGAGACGACAGGTATTGTTGTGACAACTTGTGAACCTTGAGCGTTCGTCGATGTGACGATTACGCCAGGTACTTGGGATGTCACGACGAGGATGCTACCTTGGGCGTTCGTAGAACTGATGACGACGTTCGCTACAGCATTAGCCGCGGCTGCTGGAACGGCGGTGGCGGCTTGGTTGTTGAGGCCTGGGACTGGCACAAGAGCAGCAATATCAGAGTTCTCCTCATGCGGAGAAGGTGGGCTCGGAGCAGGAGTTGGCTTTTCTGCTACGGCAGCTGGTTTCCCAACTCCGAAAGGATTCGCAATGATCTGAGACACTTCCGCCGCTTGGGGCTCAACTTTTGCTGGTGCTTTGCCCGCTGCCGGGCCGGGAGCTTCTTTCGGCGGACTCGCTTTGGGCGCCGGTGTTACGCCAGCCTCGTCACCGGCCTCGGTGGATGTAGATGTTGCGGTGAGATACAACGCCGTGTTCAAAGCGGAGGCTGCAGCAGGCCACGTTCCGTATGGTGAGCAATTCCAAGCTCCCATGTCGGGCATGAGCGGTTTAACCAGAGGCTCATAATCACTGTCGGAGGACCAGACAGCATCCCATGTTGAGCCCCTGGGATCCAATGCTAGGTAGCTTGCGCTTATGTTTTGGATAGTATCCGGTATGGGTGGATGTGACGGAAAGGCAAAGACAGGTGAGTCACTATTGAAGGGGTCGAATTCCCCAGAGACTTGGGCGCACGGGTAATTCAGGCATGTTGCGACCCCAGCAGTTGTTGTGGGAAGGGTGCCACAGATGGTGTAGCTAGACGGGTAATCCGTGTAGAGGATCGATGGGAAGGTTCTACGATAGAAGTGAGTTTCTTGGATGAATACACTACCTTGAATGAGTCTTACAATATCTCGGTTCTGCTGGTGGTACCGAATTGGAGGACAACTGATGTCGTCTTCGTGGTTGAGAGAGGAGTATAATCTTTCAAGTCCACCTCTGTATTGGTGATTGTCTCGGTTCTCGTGCTATTGTTTTTCTTGTTGACCACATAGACTAGTGTCTCTGCCGTTACCGTTGCAGTAATCGTCCTTCCCGTCCAAGTAATGGAACCAAGTGGTTCAACGTTTCGCGTGCAGTTCGATGGGCAATCTGTTGTTCCCGTTGCGCTTGGCAAAGTTATCCTTGTTGAGTTTGCAAACGTTGCTGCCTTGATTAATCCTTGCCTACGATGTCCAAAGGTCTGTTCGCGACTTACTCGGATACGTGTCTGCCGTCGCTGCACTGAAAGGTATGATAACAATGAGATTACAAGCAAGAGCAAAAGAGAAAAAGTCGGACAACATCGGGATTTTAGACTTGCAGTAATGACAGTCTGAGCTTTACAGCTTCTACAAGGATACAAGACCGAGGGTTGACAACGACGACGAAGTTGGGAATTAGGGTTACCTTATGAGCACGCGTTAGATGGATCGTCAGAGATTACAACAAGGATCATTAGTCGTCGTGTGCTACCATCGGATGGAGGAGACTGATCGACTTCACCATAGTTTTTGATTGGATCGGGGGTACATTTGTACTATTGCGAGTGAGCACTTGTTTATGGTGCGACCGGGGCAGAAACTTGTTCAGTCCTCCCGGCGCCAACCCTGAGGCTGAGTCTGTCTAGCCCAACTCCCCAACAACAGCATCATGCACGATTTGAGTAGGGACTCTAAAGAGCTGAGAGATGAGGACTCAAGCGGTACACGCGCATCCTTGCCAACACCGTGTGCTTGAAGTTGGAGTCCGATAGGCCAAACCCAGTCCTACTGTTTACATTGAAGTTGAAAATCCCCTCAATATCCAACCCTTGATTTCCGAGCTACTTTTGAAGGCGAAAAATAGATATAGAAATAGAGTACCTAAACCTTTTTGTCTCGAGTTCAGAGGAGAGAAAGATACGAGCGCGTACATGTCGACTGTGAAATGACATTGATGGGAATTCTAGCGCAGAACGAACGGGCAAATTTGCAAGATGTAGAACAAAAAGTACAAAAAGTACAAAAAGTCTCTTAATGTCGTGTCTAGACAGTCTCGCAGAATGTGAGGTTCTTTTCATAGACCAGGACTTGGAAATCAATAGAGATGAAAGTGAGCGCGAGATTATTGTTGTGGCTACCTATGGCGCCGAGATTGTTTTGGTGGAGCCCGGACCCTTGACCGGAAAGAGCCGGAGAAC